GGGGGCCCCACCCCCGGGGGGTTGCGTTCCCGTGGCCGTTCCCGGTCCGGTACGGGCGCGACACTGAGGGTTGCGATCCGTTGCCGGACACGGAAAAAGACAAAAAGGAAAAAAAAAAATGTATTTACATATCATTTTTCCTGTGAGAAAATGAGTCTTGAAATACTCAAGATTTGAATCATGCAGGGAGTTCAGGAATGCAACCCTCCTGAAGCTTCCTCTAAATCTGAGTTCCAAAATATGAATATTGTAGTTGCATGTTTGTACAGAGCTTTAGAATATTTTGAAACACATTTCCCAGTGGCCCACACTCTTTCTCTGGAAAATGGAGGAACTAAATAGCAAATGGAAAGAAGCTGATCTCCCTGTTCAGCTTGGACATCAGCATCTTGTTTCTGAGAGACCTGGTTGTTGGAGGATGCATTCCATAGTGTCTCACATTTTCTAGTCCTCAGCAAAGTAACTTTTGTAGGAGAAAGAGTGATCCTATCACAGTGTTTAGACAATCATGTTCTCCACTGTCTGATACATATATTATTCTCCCCTTCTCTGATCCAGGTCCCAAAGACTAGTCAGGTATATCTGTATTTTACTACTAGGTGTACAGATTAATGAAATGTGAACTAAGGTGCCAGCTTTGTATAATTTACTTTTCTCTAAAAAGCATGCTAAGGAGACTCAAATGCCAGGATGGCAGTCATCCTCTCAGATCTTCATTCGTAGGAAATTTGGACTGGAAACATTACTTCTCTATGGAATAAAATATTCTTTAAGATCATGCTTCTAAATCAAAGAAAAATTTCTGTATAAATGCATTGAACATTCCTCTTTTATACTATGTATACCAGTGATTATAAGTTTAAGGAAAACTATATTTATTGATTTATTTCAAAATCAGCATTTTTCATTTCAATTTTTGAGCTAGATGGGTATATCTGTTTTGATGTGCCTTTTTAATTTTTATTTTACTCTATTTTTTTATTTTAGCTTCTCAATATACATTGTAGTTGAATTTCATGTCCCTTTACCCATTCCTCTTTCCCCCCCTCTCTCTCTTCTCCACTCCCCCGCCAACTACATATCTGTTCACTAGTCTTAACAAATTCAAGGAATTGTTGAGATTATTGTGTCTTCTTCCTTTACTACCATTTATTTGTTTATATATATATTTATTTATTTTTAGCTCCCACAAATAAGTGAGAACATGTGGTATTTCTCTTTCTATGCCTGACTTGTTTCACTTAATATAATTTTCTCTCAGTCCATCCATGTTGTTGCCAATGGTAGTATTTCATTCTTTTTTATAGCAGAGTAGAATGCCATTGTGTGGATATACCACAGTTTCCTTATCCACTCATCTGATGATGGGCATTTGGTCCAACTCTTGGCTATTGTAAATAGTGCTGCAATAAACATGGGAGTACAGGTATCTCTTCGGCATGATGATTTCCATTCCTCTGAGTATATTCCCAGCAGCAGAATAGCTGGGTCATATGGTAGATCTATGTGTAATTGTTTGAGGAACCCCCATACCATTTTATGTAAAGCCTGCACCAATCTGCTGTTCCACCAACAGTGTATGAGAGTTCCTTTTTCTGCACAATCTCGCCATCATTTATCATTCTCAGTTTTTTGGATATTAGTCATCCTAACTGGAGTAAGATGGTATCTCATAGTGGTTTTGATTTACGTTTCCCAAATGCTGAGTGTTGTTAAGCATTTTTTTAAACTGATGTAAATAGTATCATACATGTATCATCCTGCACTTTGCTTCTTTTATATATTTCTAGATAAAGTCCCTTATTAGATATATAATTTTCAATTTTTTTCCTATTAGATATATAATTTGCAAACCTTTCATTTATTGATGGTATTTTTTATTGTTTATGTTTTTGTGTCATATCTAAGAATCTTTTGACAAATTAAAGTCATGTTTCTAAGAATTTTATAGTTTTTGCTTTTACATTTCTGTCTTTGATCCATTTTGAATTAATTTTTGTATGTGGTGTGAGATAAGAGTTTGTCCAACTTCATTCTTTTGCATGTGGCTGTCCTTTTGTCTCAGCACCATTGTTCAAAAGACTTTTCATGTTGAATGGTCATAGCACTCTTGTCAAAAATCAGTTGAGCATAGATGTATGAGTTTACTTCTTGACTTTCCATTCATTATATTCAATTGATTTGCATGTCTGTTGTTATTCCAGTACCACACTGTCTTGATTATCATTGCTTTGTAGTAAGTTTTGAAGTCTGTAAGTGAGTCATCCTACATTGTTTTATTACTATTATTATTATTTATTTTTTCAGGATTATTTGAGTTGTTCTAGGTCCCTTGCAATTCCATATGAATTTTAGAATCAGCTTGTCAAGAAGTTGTCTGGAATTTTGACAGGGTTTGCATTAAATCTTAGATTAATTTGGGTAGTATTGCCATTTTAACAATCTAAAGTCCTTATAATTATATTATATAATATATGTGTTTAATATATATTTAATATAACTAATTTTATTATAATGTTTATCCTTGCATGTTGAACATGGTTACATTCCAAGAATAAATTTCACATGATTGTGATGTATAATCCTTTTAATCTGCTGCTGAATTTGTTTTGCTAGTATTTTGCTGAGGATTTTTATGTCCCTGTTTATATTAGATACTGGTCTGTAGTTTTCTTTTCTTGTGGTGCCTTTAATTTTACTTTCAGGGTAATACTGGTTTCATAGAATAATTTGACAAGTGCTCCCTCCTCAATTTTTTGGAAGAGTTTGTGAAATGCTGGTATTAATTCTTTTTTTGAATGTTTGGTAGAATTCAGCAATGAAGCCATCTGAGCCTGAGCTTTTCTTTGTGGGTAGACTTTTGTTTATTGATTCAATCCCATCATTTGCTATAGGTCTATTCAGATTATCTATTTCACCTAAGTCAATTTCAGCACTTTGTGTCTTTCTATGATCTAGCAATTCCAGTGAGTATGTAGTGATATTTAATTGTGTTTTTAATTTGCTTTTCCATAACTACTAATGATGTTGACCATCTTTTCCTATGTTTATTGGCCACTTGTGTACCTTTTGTGAAATGTCTATTGAAACTTTTGCCCATTTTTAAAATGGGTTTTTGGCTTATTTTATTAAGTTATGAGGTTACTTTATATATTTTGGATAAAACAGCTTTGTCAGATATATATTTTGAGGTTTTGTGTTTACCCTTAGATGTGTGATTCATTTTGAATTAATTTTTGTGTGTAGTGTGATGTAACGGTTGAGGTTTATCTTCTTTTATACATATACACATATTTGTTGAAAAGATTGTTCTTTTTCCATGGAATTAACTTGACAATTTTGTCAAAAAACAATTGCCTTATTAATGTGGCTCTATTTCAGAGGTATCTATATTTTAGAACTATGTTGTTAGATGCATATACATTTATAATTGTATCTTTCTGCTTTTTGACCTTTTTATTAATAGGAAATGTTCTCCTTTGTGTTCTAGTAATTCTCCTTTTTTAAAGCTTATTTTGTCTAATATTAATATAGTCTCTCCAGGTTTCTCAAGCTTATTCTCTATGCATTTTATATTTTCCCATTCTTTTGCTTACTACTTTTACTATTATTTGTATTTTTATTTATAAAGTGCATTTCTCATAGACAACCTATAGTTGCATGTTGCTTTTTTTCTTTTTTCTCAATCTCTATATTTTTATTGGAGTGTTTAGTACATTTTTGTTTAGTGTAATTATTGATATATTTAGATGTATTGGCTGTCATTTTTGTACTTGTTTTTTGTTTGTCTTTTGTTTTGCTGTTCTTCTGCTTTCTATTGTGTTAAACAGTTTTTGTGGACTATTTCTATTCTCTATTAGCTTGTTGGCTTAATTTCTTTGCATTATTTTTTATTGGTTGCTCTAGGAACCATAATATGCAAATTATACTTACAGTAAAATATAGGAACATTTTCATAGTATAGTTCCATTTACCCACTCATTTTTTTGTGCTGCTGTTATCATTTATAGTACCTCTCTGTATATACATATATACACAAATATGTGTATATGCACATATATATAATAAACCCAAGAGTATAGTGTTATTTAGCTTAAAGAGTCCTATGTCTTTTAAAGAAATTAAGAGAAGTGTATAAATATATATAATATACATACACATATGTATATATGTATGTATATACATATGTATCTATATTCTTTTCCATTTATTACTTATCTCTTCATTTCTTTCTGTATATCCAAGTTATCACCTGCTGTCTTTTTATTTTAGCCTGAAGTATTCTCTTAGCATTTCTTGAATGCAGACCTGTTAGAAACGAATTCTCTGTTTTTATTTATTTAAAAATGTCTTTGATCTTTATTTTTGAAGAATAGTTTTTAGTGCATATAGTCTTCTTGGAAATCAGATTTTTCTTCTCAAAACTTACAGCATTATTCCAGTGTCTTATAGTCTCCACAGTGCTAATGAAAAATTAGCTGCTAATTATGTTTTTGTTGTCCTTTACACAATGTATCATTTTTCTTTGCTGTTCTCATGATTTTTCTTGTTATTTTTGGCTTGTAGTGGTTTGATTATGATGTACCTGGGTGCAGCTTTCTTTATTTATTCTAGTTGTGGTTTATTGAATTTCTCGTAGATGTGAGTTTGTTTTTCACAAAAGTTGGGAAGTTTTTGGTTATTATCTCTTCATAAATTTATCTACCATTTCCCTGCTCCTTGCTCAACTTCAATTACTCTTATGAGTTATTAAAAATTATTTCTGACACATAGTTTTAAACTTTGGAAGAACGCTTGGAAAGAAGAGGAAATATGAATGAAATGCCACAATTTTCTAAGAAAATCTAGTTCCTTAAATATGCACACACACTGCACAACCCAGTTGATTTGCAGTCAAAAATATTAATGTTATCTTGTTTTTCTGTTTTTGCAAAATCTATTCCTAGGTGCATTTCCTCCCTCTGCTGTTTATGCACGAAAAGACTTGCTACAGCGATCTACCCATATTGCTACCAAGACTTTCCAAGCTCTTCGCATATTTGTGAACAATGAGCTTAATGAACTCTACATAGGACTGAAAACAGCTCAGAAGTTTCTGAGACCTGGTGGTCGCCTTGTTGCCCTCTCATTCCATTCACTAGAGGATCGCATCGTCAAACGATTCTTGCTTGGGATAAGCATGACGGAAAGGTTTAACCTAAGTGCTAGACAGAAGGTGATACAAACATCACAGTTGGGTTTGGATCATGAAAACAAGGAAGGAATCTCTATAAGAAAAGCTCCTTTGATGTGGGAATTGGTACACAAGAAGGTACTTACTCCAGAAGATCAGGATGTACAAGATAACCCCAGAGGGCGCTCAGCAAAGCTTAGAGCAGCTATCAAATTGTGAGAAAGTTACCATCACCTGATCCTTCACATTTTTTCTCACAGCTTCTCTAACTTTTTTTCATGTGATGTTTCTTAACAATTTAATACAACTGAATGTGTGGGACAGTCTGGAAATTAATGACATTTGGCATTTTGTTTTCCTCAAGAAGAAACTGTAGGAAATATTAGCATTACAAAGAAAGTTTAACTCGGAGAGCAACATCATCTCAAGACTGCAAAAATGTATTTATTTTTGCATTATGTTTATCTTCACAACAGACTTTCTATGGCTCAAATAATTAATGATGATCATGGAATGAATTTTAATTTCCCTACTTGTGAATAATTAGTTACTATAGCTTTCTCAAATATATACAAATTTTATATTTATACAAATTTTAAATTTTCAAGTATTATTTTAAAAATGCATTATACTGATAAGTCTTATTGTTGAAGTTATAGTTCATTATTTTAAAGGGATTTTTCAATATGATACAGGCAATTTTTCATATATTACAAGGTAAAAATGCAGAATTTCTCTAATAACCCTCACAGAGAATTGTTTCACAGAACTTTTATTTAACATCAATTGTGTCTATTTTTTGTTTTAATAATAGCCTCGAATGCTTATAGCAAATAATAAAGTCTCTTATTAGGATCCTGCATTTTTTATTTGAGCTATTCAAAATAATTCAGCCAAGTCTATTTGAAATGCAAAACTATCTGATTTATTCACTATATTAAAATCAATGTTTCTTAATGTTTTTACTTAGGTATAGTAACTGTAATTAGGGTAAAAAGTTAATTCAGGAGACAAGCAATTGATAGAGGATTATTTAACAAATTGACAAGATTGATTGGTAATTCTCACATCAACATATTATATGTAAATGTTACTCAGCAAATACTAATTTGTCATTGGAGAAACAATGGTAGGTACAACATACACGGCCCACAGTACCTGTTCTATGGAGTTTGTAGTATAGTGGAAGAGAATGATGTTAATTAAATAATCACAAAATTCAGTATAAAATGGTCACAGTGGTAAATGCTCAGAGAAGTGGTGCATGGTGCTGTAAGACCATCTAGTAGGGATTTGATCTGTTGAAGAAAACCAGGTCTGAACTGCAACGTGAAGGATGAGTGGCCGATAATTAGTCAGAGGATGCTTGGGTTGGGAAGGGGGCATGTTGATTAAAGGTGTGCGTTAATGAATATTCACTTAAATAGTTATCCTTGAAATTATATTTATACTATTAACTTGCTCAATAAACTATTCAAGTACAGGAAATATTCATCTTCTCCATTACGACTACAAATTCTAAATTGGTGAATCCAAGTGAATGAAATATCAGCATAATTGTATGGACAAAATCAATAAGGATTAAATACATGAATTTACCTCAGATTTATTTTATCTATCTCTGTAATATGAGAGTACTTCAAAAAGTTTATGGAAAATTTTGTATTACCTTTTAATTCTATTTTTCCATAAAATTTTGAAGTACCCTTGTATTTAGTTCCCAAGCTGTTTACCACTTTTACTTTAAAGGCTTTATTTAAACCTGAACAACCATGCATTGAAATAAGAATTAGAAAAAATTCTGGAGACATTGAACTTAAAATAGAAATAAGAGAATGCACCTGGGTGAATCCCCTGTATCTTGCCTGAAGGATTTTGTAAGTTTATCTTTGCAAGTAAAACATATTTGTGAATGAGAATCCAAAGGTAAGCTCCCATCCTAGTATCTGATTAGAGAATAAAAGACCACATTCTTATATTCAACAGTGATCCACCTATTTCATCAATCATTTTTGCAATCTGTATAGGAATTTTTTTCTTTAATGTTAAATAGAAATATTCCACTGGGTTGACAGTACCCCCACCCAAATTCATGTCTTTCCCCAAACTTCATCAATCATTTTTGCAATCTGTATAGGAATTTTTTTCTTTAATGTTAAATAGAAATATTGCACTGGGTTGACAGTACCCCCACCCAAATTCATGTCTTTCCCCAAATCTCAGAATGTGACCTTATTTGGAAATACTATCATTGCAGATCTGAGTAGTTAAGATAAAGTCATATTGGAGTAGGGCCCTCCCTTAATCCAATATGACTTGTGTCCTTATAAGAAGAAAAAAGAGAGACATAGGGGAGAATGCCACATGAAGATGGAGGCAGAGATTGGAGTGATATGTCTACAAACCAAGGGACACCAAGGATTGCTGGCACTTACCAGAAGCTAACAGAAAAGCATGAAACATTCAGAGTCTCCAGTATGAATCAACCCTGCTGATACCTTATTTGGACTTCTAGCCTCCAGAACAATGAGAAAATACATTTCTGCTGTTCTAAGCCACCCAGTTTGTGGTAATTTATTATAACAACCTTAGAAAAGTAATACTCTGACAAAAAAATCTTCAGTGATATGCATGAGAAAAATCCTTCTTCAATAAACAGAAAATTGATTTCAAGATGTTTGAGTATTAAAATATATTAACTCTTTTCTGAAATTAGGCTGTTTACCACAATCATTCTTGTCTGCTTCTTAGTCTTTGTTGTAGGATGAATAACAAAATACATAAATGAGTTTTAAATGGTTAACTCTGGAGAATGGTTTTGGAAAATTCAAACAATATATGTAGAAAATAAAAACTGATTGTTACAGTGAATGTGCATTGTTTTTCTAATAAAATATTTCCGAATCTCTTTATTGACTGCCATCTTCTATGAATCATTTTAACATGGCACCAATGTTATTATGTAGTACATCACTTCTTACCAATTTTTACTTCATCACTGAAGAAATGAAATATACACAATTTTTATTTGGTAATTCTATTGTTTATTCATTTCATTTTAAAATTTGTTTACTAGTTACTTTTTTGGGGAAGTTTCTAGGGGTTTTTTAACAGACATTACTCATCTATATATCTTTTCTATTTCATGTAATATATGATATATAATTTGTGCTTTAATTTACTGAACTATTTTTGTGCTATAACCTGTAGTTTATAAGAGAATACAGTATGCCTAATTAGATTTTTGAAATTAACTAGTATATCTGAAAATTCACTTGCAGATATTTAAAAATCATATACTTTTTTTTTTTTTTTTTTTAAAAGATGACCGGTAAGGGGATCTTAACCCT